AGTGGAACAGGGACAAGCTGTCCCTGAAAAGCCCTACAGATTTATGAACACAATAAACGTGGTTTAAGCCATTCAGTCTGGGGCTGGTTTGTTACAGGACAATAGGTAACTGGCACACCATGACCTACGTTTCAGATTTTATATAGCTAATTTCAAGTATTTTATTTTTCAGTCTCTTCTAGTTTCTAATGGTTATAGAATTTTAATACTTAATGCTGGATGCAGTATGGAGAGGAGCAAAATTAGATGCAGGCGTGCCCAGCTGTGAGGTGGCTGCGGTTGTCTAAGTAAGAGGTGACTGACCTGAGGGCTTTCATCTCTACTTAGGGTAGAGAATCCTGCAAGAAAATGACACTGCAACACTGGTGATGAGAAATAGCAGAATAATCTACAAAACTAGCTTTTCCTGAATCTGCAGGAAGCTGAGGTCACAAGGCAATGAAACAAAGCCTCTTCAATGTGAGGGAGACACACATGAACAGTTTCAACTTTAGCAGAGCATGGAAGAAACAGGTGGCCATCATACAAGTGGGTAAGAAGAAACCATCAAAACTTTTAACAAAAGCTAAAAGGCTATATACATGGGCTAGTGTGTCAGTTTAGAAAAGCTGGAGACTATTCCAGACACAGTAGTTTGTACTCACGGTAAGCTTCTTTTCCAGAGGCCTCCCCTGAGGTTGAGAGAAAAAGTGGGAGCAGGGCAGGAAGTGGGAGAGGGCTTTCCTCCTTGGTGCAGGCATGCCGGAGTTGATTAAGGCAGCTGCTTGGCAAAGGCAAAAAGCCTCAGCTGCTTCCAGAATCCCTCTCTCCTAGAAGCAAAAGCCTTTAGCTTTTGGGGCAACAGATTCTTGCTTCAGGGGGAGTGATGAAGGCAAAACTCATCTGCTTTGGGTGAGGAGTAAAGACATTTTGTCCTTCTTTAACACAGGCAAAGAGCCACTGCTTAGGTGAGGAAGAATGGAAGCAAAATGCCTTTATCCCAAAGGGAGAAGTGGGAAACTATCTGGGACTGAGGATTCAAGCAAGGGTCTTCTGTGTTGGGGGAGAGGGCAAGAAACCCTGGTCACAAAAACTGACTGCAGGTATACGACAGAATTTGGTTTTCAGAGGGGGCAGAAATAATGAGAAAGCCTTACTCCTGACGGTGGGATATGCCTGAGACTAAAGCTGAACCAGGATAACAGAGACAACCCCCACCCCCCACGGCATGTCTTGCCTCTCCATGAGCCTGGCTCCAAGCAGGGAGCAAGAGCACACACCTGCTGGTGTAGGGTGGGCATGCAGGGAGGGCTGAAAAGTTGAGGTCCGTGGAGCAGGAACCCAGAAAAATCCCGACACCCTAAGCAGCCCACTACTAGATTCAAAGCCTGTGATGCACTGAGGTAATGGTGGGAACGACACAGCCCAAACCCTGCCTGACCCTGAACTAGACGGACTCAAACCCTCAGACCAACAGAAGAGGCACACCCACTTCCAGCCATAAATACCATTTACCTCTCAGTCTCTGCTGTTTACACATGATGGGCATTCAATAAAAATTTATGACACATATGAAAGGCAAGAAGAAAAAACCCCAATCCATCGTCAAAAGTTACAGAGATCATGGGTGCCTGGGTGGCTCAGTCGGTTGAGCGTCCGACTTCGGCTCAGGTCATGATCTCACGGTTCGTGGGTTTGAGCCCGCGTTGGGCTCTCTGCTGACAGCTCAGAGCCTGGAGCCTGTTTCGGATTCTGTGTCTCCCTCTCTCTCTGACCCTTCCCTGCTCACACTGTCTCTCTCTCAGAAATAAATAAAACATTAAAAAAAAAAGTTACAGAGATCAGGGCACCTGTGTGGCTTGGTCTGTCAAGCACCCGACTCTTGATTTTGGCCTGATCAGGCCATGATCTCATGGTTCGTGAGGTTGAGTCCTGCGTGGGGCTCTGCGCTGGCTGTGCAGAGTCGGCTTGAGATTCTCTCTCTCTCTTCCCCTCTCCTGCTCTCTCTCTCTTGCTCTCTCTCTCTCTCTCTCTCAAAAAAAAATACAGAATCAACAAAACCAAATTCACAGATGACACAGATTTTGGAATTACCAGATAGGGACTTTAAAATAATAATAACATATGTGAAAGGGTCTAGTGGGAAAGGGTGGGCAACTTGCATGAGCATTTAGGAAGTCTCGGCAGAGACATAGAAACTATCAGAACATCAAATGGAAATGCTAGAAATAGGCACTCCTGGATGGCTCAGTCAATACAGCATCCTGCTCTTGCCAGGGTGGTGAGTTCAAGTCCCATGTTGGGCATGGTGCCTACTTAAAAAAAAAAAAGAAAAGGAAATGCTAGAAATAAAAAATACGATATCAGAGATGAATTCCTTCAGCAAGCTTTTCCACAGTAGGCATAGCTGAGGAAAAAAAAAACAATGAACTTGAGAGAGGTCAATAGAAACCATCCAAGCTGAAACACAAAGAGGGGCAAAAAGGAGTGAGAGTAAAAAAAGAAAGAGGAAAACCAAGCTTGTAAGATCTGCAGGAAAATATCGTTCAGTCTGATATACATGTAATTTGAGTCCCAGACAGAGTGAATGGTGCGGAGGAAATATTTGAAGAGATGATGATAACACGAATGAGGATGTGGCTCTGAGCCTAGAGAGAAGTGGGTAAAGGAAGGATTTGGAGGGGAAGAACCACTGCAACTCGGTATCCTAGTGGAATGAAGTGTGAGGGAGTAGGAGTGGAGCATGGCACCCTGGTTTGGCACGAGGGATTGGGGCTGGCTAGCAAGTGGTGCGGGCTAGCAAGTGGTGTTGCTGGGTTTGGGATTTTTGAGCCTGGCTTAGCTCTCCAGAGCCTGTGCTCCTTGGGTGCACCACACTGCCTCCTATAGGCTAGACTGGAATGACAGCTGGGTTGGTCCCTGCTCCTTGATGTCCCACTCTCCAGCTGGAGGGTCCCACCATGAATCAATGTGTGGCTAAGAGATATACTCATCTCCTGTCATTCTACAGGTTACAGATTGTTCAGAAGTAAAGTTTTCTTCTTTCCAGACAGACGGACTCTCTTCTCCCTTCATGCTGACCTGATCCACTTAAAAAAAAATAAAACAAAACAGTTATTTTGCAGCTAAGCAGGGAGGGAGGAGGCAGAAATGGGTAAGAGGGATGGTACCTATGTGTGCAGGCATGTGTGCACAGGAAAGCAGATGGGTTACAGAGAGTTTATCAGCATTTATTTTTTTTCCTTTATTGTATTTTATTTATTATTTTTTAAAGAGGTGCCATGCCTAACATGAGGCTTGCACTCATAATCCTGAGATCAAGAGTTGTATGCTTTACCTACTGAGCTAGACAGGCACCCTGAGTTTTTGAGCATTTTAAAGAAAAGGACCAGGGACCCTGAGTGGCTCTATCAGTTGAACATCTGACTCTTGATTTTGGCTCAGGTAGTGATCCAAGGATTGTGGGATCAAGCCCCATGTTGGGCTTCACACTGAGCATAGAGCCTGCTTAGGATTCTCTCCCTCTCTCTCTCTCTCTCCCGCTCTGCCCTACTCCCCCTCTCACATGCTCTTTCTCTCTCTAAAATAAATAAATAAATAAATAAGAATAGGACCATTTTTGGTTTTTTATCCTATGTCCTTTTTGGATGAGATTATCAATTGGTATCTCAGCAGAATGCCCAGGTACAGCATAGTCTTCAGCAGAGCGTCTGATGGAGGGTGTAGGCTGGATAAGAGTATAGTAGCATAGGGGTACCTGGGTGGCTCAGTCAGTTGGGTGTCCGACTTCGGCTCAGGTCATGATCTCACCACTTGTGCGTTCAAGCCCTGCATTGGGCTCTGTGCTGACAACTCAGAGCCTGGGCCCTACTTCGAATTCTGTGTCTTCCTCTCTCTCTGCCCCTCCCCCACTCACACTCTCAAAAAATGAAAAAAAATTTAAAAAATAATAAAAAGAGTACAGTAGCATAAATTCACAGTTGTTTGAACCACCATCTAAAAAGTGTACTCACTGACTAATAAACTGATATAATGCTCATTTCTTCTTTGTTTCCTTTTCTTCCTCTTCTCCTCCCTCCTCCCCCTCCCCCTTCTCCCTCCTTCTCCCTCCTTCTTCCTCAATCTGCCGAGCTGAACATTTTTATCAATGATTTGGATAAGTGCATAGGAGACATCCTTACCAAAAGTGAGAGGATAGGTAATTGATTGACCAACAGATCAATTTTCTTATAGACTGGAATGATAGGACAAAGTATGAAATCTAATAAGGATAAATATGAAGCCCTTCATTTAGGATTTAAAAAGTAACTACCCAATTAGAGGACAAAAAAGACCTGTGTATTAGTTCATTTGTTCTAGTGACAGAAGCCAGACTCCATCTAGACTGAGCCATAAAGGGACATTGATTGGTAAGGACAGAAGTAGAGCTGGCCTCAAGGTCAGCTGAATCCGAGGACTCAGATAATATCTTCAATTTCCTCTTTCTTTCACTCTTAACTTCTCTCTTTCTTTGTGTGTAAGTATAGCAGGTATAGACCTGGGAGTTCTGTACATCATCTCAGCTTAGCAAATCCAGCCCTTCCAACTCCATAAATTCCAGGGGAGGACTCTGATTGGCCTAGTCTGAGTCACATGCTATTAATCATCAACCAATTGTTGTGACCAAGTAAGGGATACTTTCACTGGCTGAGCCTAGGTCATGGGCCCAAACCTATGGCTAGAGGCACAGGGTAATGTGGGTGGCAATCCCACCAGAACCATTTGAGAATAGGAAGTGGGGGAGAGTTGCTGTTACCTGAAGAAAAGCAAAAGGGATCCTGAGAAACCAAAACAACAGATGTTCAATGTCTTTACAGTTCAGTTGAGTCAGTAGTGTATGTACCTGCCAAAGTTTATCATTCTAGGAATCAACAGTGGAAATGTACTTAGGGCTATAATAGTATAAAAATAAATTCTGTGCTGGCCATACAACTCTGAAGTATCATTTGGGTGCTATGAAAGAGGAACAGTGACAAACTCACAGTGCTGCCTAGAGTAGGGGTCCAGGGTAAGGAGGCCCAGAAGATCATCTAATTTGAAGAAAGGTCAAGGCAATAAAATTTGGCCTGGAAAGAGAAGATATGATAGACATGGTTGGCCTTAAAATATTTGGAGGAATCTTGAGTAGAAAAATGAAACACTGACATACAAAGGACAAACTAGTACCACTGGGGGCAAGTTTCAGGGAGAGCAGTCACCATTCAGTATAAGGTAAAGTTTCTAATAGCTGTCTAATAATAGATGTTCAATCAGGCATCAGAGATGTTGTAAAGGGATTCCTTTATTTCATAGAAAGTTAGATCAGGTGACCCCTGAGGTCCTTTCCAATTACGAAAGTCTATGGTTGTCCATTAGAGACCTACAGGTGCTTGCTGCTAATAAGTCAGCCCTGGACTCCTCAAAATCTGGGAGGGGGAGCTGTTGAGCTCTTTTCTGTCCCTAGATGGTGATGACAACAAACATCTGATCACTTACAAACAATCGGAGGCAGAGCCTTCCAACAATTCTTATCTTAGCCTAGCCCTGTGGGACAGACTTTTTGGCAGGGAAGGTCACAGAACAGCAGCGCTTGTGCTATTTTATGTCATCTGAATACATACCATCAGACAAGGTCTTTGAGGTAGGCAGTTTGCTTTAGGGGAGTGGGCAAGAATAAGGAAGCAAGGAGAATGAGACAGGAAAGGGTCTACTGAGTGGTTCCTTGTGGGTAGTTGGGCTCAGTCCCCTCTGGGATCACTCTGAGGTGCATTAAAGATCACAGCTCAGAATTTCCCTTGCTGAGCAATGGAGAAATCTGGGCTATAATTCCACCAGTCCCCATCCCTCAGGGGTTGAGGTTTGTCTTTTGGGGGTGTTAAGCTCCTGCCACTTCTAGGCTGCCCTGCAGCGGCTGAGAAAAGTCTCCCACAGAGAAGGAGGGGGATGGTCTATTAGGATTCTTGGACTGAATTCCAATGGGGGTGGGTGGGGTTCTCACACATACAACACCAAGCAATTCTCATACATTAGCAGGTTGTCCAAGAATTCAACTCAATTTGGACACTATCTTCCTGGAGATGGCATCAGATTCACAGGTTAAGGGTTCAGTCCTACAAAACTGCCCCCCATCCCCCAGTTCGGATGCCAATCCCCAGGCTATTATTTGTTCTTCTGACCTACTGGCTACAGACTGGAGGTTTCAACCACCTCTTCCTTAGGTTCAATTAATTTACTAGGGCTGCTCATAGAACTCAGGGAAACACTTAACATTTATCAGTTTATTAAAGGATGTGAGAGTCAACAGTCATTTGAAGAAATACATAAGGTGAGGTATGCAGAAAGGACACGAAGCTTCCATACCCTCTCCGGGTACACCATTCTCTACAATCTCCATATGTTCACCAACTCCAAAGCTCTCCCAACTCAGTCCTTTTGGGTTATAATGGAGGTTTCATTGCATAGTCATGATTGACTGAGTCACTGGCCATTGGCTGATTCAGCCTACAATCTCCCTTCCCCAGAGTTTGGGGTGGAGGTGGGAGCAGGGCTGAAAGTTCCAACCCTCTAATCACAAGGTTGTTCCTCCTGGAAACCAGCCCCTGTCTTTGGGTGGGGTCTATAAGTCAACTTCAGTAATTACAAGACATTCATTTCACCTTTATGGCTGTGAAGTATTTTTAGGAACTGTGGATGAAGACCAAATATATCTGAGAAATATATTTTGGTCCTCTGAATGACCAAATATATATTTCTTATGAACCATTATATCATAAATGGGAAACTGTGAACATGCACCAGAACTGTCCACCACAGCCACAGCTGGACATAGAGGTGGGCTGAAGGGATGTGGGGCAGGGCACCATCAACATCTGCCACAGTCCCTTTCTCATTCAGTCCAGGGCCTATATTTTCCAGCGACAGCAGGGGATCTTTGATTTTCACATTCTAGCCTCTGTGGCCCGAGGAGTTCTCCAAGTTGGCTAATTCAGCATAGCCGTATCTGATGTCCACCCACAGCTCTCTTGAGCTGAAGTCTGCCTTCTGGGCCAAGTTTCCTCACTGGGCCGTCTGCTCTGAGGCTACCAGGGCGCTGGGCTCTCTAGGTTGCCACCTGTTCTATTCTACACCCACATGTGAGCTTGGAACATGGTGACATGAGGGACACTGGCTGTACTGTTCATTCTACAATGGTCAAGGCCAGAACTGGTCAAAGCCTGGATGGACTCCAAGTTTCCTCTGCTGATGGGCTATTATTTCTTAGGAAGAAAAGGCTAAGAATGACTGAGAATTCAAAGACCCTGAAAGACCTCACTCAAAGCCATGGAGACACTTCTAAGATGGGAAATCAATGTACTAATGCTGGAGGCAGAATTCCTGGCCAGCCCTGGAGGACCAATCCAAGTTGGTCTGTGACTCTAGTTACTGCTCCTCTGGCCTCCTTGGTGAGAGCTCTGGACACGCCCCTCCCCTATTTGTCTTGCCCTCTTACCCCTACATTCCTGACCAGTTCTCAGTCTTTCCAGCCACCTCTTCTCTCCTCCTTCATAATAGTTAACCCCCCTCCCCCATACACACCCAGGGGCTACATCACCTCTGATGGTCATACTCAGACTCCCTAATTTTGTCTCATTTCTTACCATCCCACTCAGTGCTCTGATACCCATTTCACCACCTGGGAGAAGGGAGGCTGAGCTATAGGTATTTACGGTGAGTTTGGGGTGAAATGGAACCAGGGCCTCCCTAGGGCAAGGAAGGGGTGGGGGGGTGTGCGTGTTGGGATGGGGTTCAACTTTACCATTATTAGCTTAGGGCAAGGCAAATGGATGGCAAATGTTACCCAGCCAGAGGAAGAGCCTGGCCAGCAAATCAACTGAGACCCCACCTGAGACCTTGGGGAGATGACAAAATACTGGACCTGAGCCCAGCTCAGGACAAAGCACTTTACTGGGATGGGAGTGAGGCAGTGTGGGCCAAGTCCTGTCACACTTGACCCCTGTCCCCTCTCTTCCTCCCTCGGGCCATCTCCATTACTCTTCAGTCAGGGCTTCTCTCACCCCTGTTATCATGAGTCCCCTGTGCCTCTCTTTGTCTCTTTTCCTGTTTCTGTCTCAGACTCTGCTGTGCTTTGTTCATCATCCCTCAGTCCTGCGTCACCGAGACTGTCACCATCTCACTTTTTTCCCTCTTCATATGTTCTGGGTCCCTAAATACGCTCTGTATCTCTTTGTCTCTGTCAGTGTGTGCGCCTCTGACTTGATCTGTTTTTCTATGTCTGTCTGTCTGTCCATATTCCCAGAAGCCCTATAACTCCAGAACAGCTGGCTGGAGTGGCTTTTCTGAGAACAGAGCCTGGGACAGCCACCCAATGTGCTGAGTAGAGGTGGCTAAGGACATTTCCAGCCCAGGAGTCGTCATGGTAACAGCCAGGGCGGGCCAGGCAGGGGACGTGCAGAACCACGTGGGCTTGACCTTTCTGTGGTGGCACGTTTGAGCGGGAGCTGGGGAGAAACAGCAACAACTGCTTCCCTCTGGCCCAGTCCTGGGGCTTCCAGGCTGGGCTGAAAGCAGAGAGGGAGAGAGGGAGAGAGGCAGAGAGGAGAACTGGCACAGCTGGCAACAGAGCGCAAGGACAGCCGCGTTAGCCAGAGCCATCCAGAGAATCCGCTGGAGAGCGGGGCGAGCACAGGCACGCACTCCCAGCTCCCAGTCGTCACCGAGACTCCCATTGTGAACTGACCTGTGGAGGGCACCAGACATCATTGCTGCAGGCTCAGCTCGCGCTTCGCCAGCCTCCGCTCTGGGTAGGTGGTTGGTAAAGGTCAGTCCTCCACACTCAGAGCTCCCCTCCAGACTCCTTCAGATCAAATGTCACTTTTTCCATATTGCAAAAGCCTCTATTGCTCTAAGGAAAATATGTTAAAAGAAAAAGGAACCAAATGATTCTTTCAAAAATAGAAATATTATAAATGCAAAAGTCCAAAGAAAGATACTCAAAATAAAAGGCAATCCTCCCTCTTCTTCCCCTGGCTCTGAAGATCTCTCCATGGTTGCCTTCCATGCCTGCCAAGTCAGCGGGGAGAGACGAGGCTGGGTCCTGGGTCCACTTCTCTGACAAGGGCACAAGAAGGGAAGCCAGATGTCTTGTTTCCCGTGTGTGAGGGAGGCTTGGACTCACAGCCCTCCTCTCGGCCCAGATATACCCGTCCCACTCCTTACATCTTTCTCCTGTGGTGCAGACATACAGGCGTGCCTCTTAAGGGAGAGGCAAGGGGTACAGGGCAGCCTCAGGTTAGCTTCACAGAGAACACGGCTCACCTGTGGATGTCATTTCTAAACTTTTGAATCATGGCCACGCAAGAGATCTCAAGCCTTTCGGGAATCACCGCCTTGGAAATCAAGACCAACTCAGAATGAAAAAGAAAGTCTTGTCATATACTGAAAAATCTATATGCAGGAAAGACATGAAGTGGGCACTCATCAGCCAAGAGGTGGCTGACTTAACACAGCAGCATTCCAGGCTCCTTTCATTCAGCAGTCGGCCCAAAATACCCTTAGAGAACTTCATCATGCCACTCAGATAAGAAAAGGGGAAGTCTTTTGATTCTTGGCAAGAGAGGGGATGGCAGATCCAGCAGTCATAAGCTAGCATGATCTGGGGTGTCTGAGTGGCTCAGTCGATTGAATGTCTGACTCTTGATCTCAGTTCAGGTCTTGATCTCAGAGTTGTGAGTTCAAGCCCTTCATTGGGCTCTGTGCTGGGTGTGAAACCTACTTTAAAAAAAAGTTAGCATGCTTCCAAAGCTATTTGAAGTGAGTCCTGATTATATATATTTGAAAATGGTCACAATACTACCGAAGATTCAGCATTTTTGAGGCTAGCCTTTCTTCCTCTGACTCATGGGTTTATGTGTTGTGGTCCTGCTTGGGAAGTGATTGACATAACCTCCCAGTTCTGCCCCTACAGAATCATCACTGAATACTCCTATCCCTTCCCTGGGGACAGAGTAGGTTCTGGGGACCTTCAGGTACCTGTGACTCTGGAGCAGTGGGCAGAGGATAGGAAGGAAA